AGAAATAGAAGCTTTTAAAGAAATTTTAAAAACTCTTTTAAATTATTAAAAATAAAAACTTCAAATAAATTCTAAATAAATCTTAATCCAACCTTAAATTAATTCCAATTAAAATCTTAATAAACCTTAATCAAATCCTAAATCAAATCTTAATTAAATCCTCATTGAAATCTTAATCAATCTTAATCAAATTTTATGTCAAATCCTAATTAAATCGTGATTGAAATCTTAATTAAAATCCTAATAAAATTTTGATAAAATCCAATGTCAAATTCTAATAAAATCCTAATGAATCTTAACCAAATTCTATGCCAAATCCTAATAAAATCCTAAATCCTACTCAAATCCTAAATCCTAGATCAATCCTAAAAAAATCCTAAAAAAATCCTAAACCTAAATCAAATCCTAATTAAATCCTAATTAAATCCTAATTGAAATCTTAATAAATCTTAATCAAATCCTAAATCCTAGACCAACTCTAAGAAAATTCTAAGTAAATCTTGATTTATTATTATAGCCATTTGAAACCTCAATAAATAATTATTAAACCATAGATCTTAACTAAAATTTTACCTTAACTTCAATCAATAAGTAATTAATAAGCACACAAAATTTATGAAGAATTGGGCTTACACATTGCAAATAAGGCTCTCAAAACCTCTTGGTTGTTGGCTGTACTCCTTCTTTGACTTGAATGTTGATCTTTCAATAAAGATTTTTTTCTTATTGAATTGTTCAATTGCTCCAAAAATTAGGTTGTAAGTAGATATTCATGTCTAAATTTCTTTCACCAATTTTTGCTTGAATCTAACTAGTAAATATTTTTAGATCATAAAATCCCTTATTAATCCTAAATTTCAATTATCCCAAACTATAATCTACAAAAATTCTTATTCTCTTCAATCTAACTATTTGATCAATCTCAAATTTCTCACACACATTTATATCAAGCACAATGAAAAATGGCCGAATTTTCATCCATAAATATGCTACAAAAATCACAAAATTCCCAAATTTGTAAAATTACTTTTATTTCTCAAAATCTAAAGCCACCAAGTACATCACTTTGAAAATCCTTCAAAACCTCAATATTAATCCAAATGATATAGAACCAACTCTTAAAAATCTTTCCTCAAGTCTACTCTCAAACCTTATTTTCCAATTGATAAAAGAACCTCAAAGTCATTGTAGGTATGTAGTTTTGTGCCTCAAGGTCTGTTTTTGATCCATGTTCACAACATGTCTCCTTTGGATATCAATTTTTGGTAATTTGAAGTAATTTTTGCTTGAACCTATTTTTAACTTTTTTTAAAAGATATCTATATTATTTACTTATCTTATTTACTTTGAATTGAGGCATTTATGTTCCTACAAAGTAAATAGAAGTCCCTTTATAAAAGACAGTATTAAGACTAAAATTTTACTACCTTCTTATTATTTATCCTTGTTTTTCTACTACATCTTTTTATTAGGCTCTTCTATAATAACATCCATATTTTTATTTTTCATCATAGAGTTGTATTACCACTCAATAACAGTGAATACTTAAGTTCTTTGTGAAGTCTATTTGCACACACCAATTATTAAACTTCTTGGTTATGTAGATGTTTGTTCTCTTGTTTTTTTATTTTTTTAATAAAATCAGCACATTGTGGTACATATTAAAATTATTTATTTATTTATTTATTCTTTAGTTGTCTTTAGTCTTTTTAGTGCTTGATAGTACATATTGCAAGCAAAGTATTCAAGTGTTGGCAAACAAACCATTGTTGAGAGCTTGAACAAAAGAACATGGATTTCTTGTAAGCAAAAGCAAATGCTCAAAAGTAGAGCCTAATAAATTCCTTGTTTATTTGCCATTGTGATTCCTTGTTAGCACCCTCCAAAACTCAAGCCACCTATGGAAATTGTCAAAATAAAAAATATTGATCTAGTAGATATAATACGGATCTGAGGCTTATGATGTTGTCAATGTCATTGGATTTGAGCATAACTGAATCATGAAAAAAAAAAAAAAAAAAAAAAAAAAATAGAATGTGAACATTGCCAATAATGTTGTTCAAATGGCATGGATGTCAACAGACATCATCAATCGGGTAAAAAACAGACAAACAATAGCTTTAAAAAATAAGATATCTTTTTCTTATTGTTTTATTGCAATTAATAAAAAGTGACAACGTACCAATGACATATTTTAAATATAATTTAATAAATAAACCATGTAAAAAATCTGCCTCAATTTGCATACAAAATTATGTAATGTTTTTTTAAAAAATAAAAATGCATATTTGTGACTAAGCATTAAATTTTTGTGACCAATTATTTTAATTGATGAATTCCAAGTCGTTATAAGAGTTTTAAATTAAAATTTTTAATTCTTTCACTTAAATTTTTTAAATCTAACTTAGTGTACATGAAAAAAAAAAAAAAAAAAAAAAAAAAAATCAATTACGTTTTAAGTTCAAATATGAATCATTTTTGTGATTTCTCTTAAAATTATAAATAACTTAAACAATTCAAAAAAAAACTTAGTTTATATATTCATTTATCAGATATTCTTTAAAAAAAATTAATCTTTTTTTTAAATTCAAATCTAAAAAGAGCGTAACATTATTAAATTTAATTGAACTGATTGATGTAAATATATGAATGTTATTGAAAACATTATTTATTGTTAAATATTGAAAAAATTTAACATTTTCTTTTTCTTTTTCTTTTTCTTTTATACTTTGCATTAATGAGATATTTTTAATTTATTTTTAGCTAATGTGTAATACTACAAATTACACAATCAATAAAGAAAAGATCATTAATATAATGGACCTCAACAAAATCAATAACATAAAAATAATAATAATAATAATAATAATAATGTATATTATGTGAATCTTTTGAAATTTAATAACTATATTTTGTATCAGCTTTTTGTTTTTTCCTGCTAAAGGTTTAGATAACAAGATTATAATTTTAAGATAAGTATAAAATAATCACTGATATCAAAAAAAATCTTAGTTTAGTCAATTTTACTTTTGTTGTATTATTTTTTAATTGAAAAAATAAAATTAAAATGAAATAATTTTTTCACATCCATATTAATAAGTATTTTATAATGATTCATTCAATCTTAGCTCAAGTTTTTTATTTTTTTCAAACATGTTTATTTATTTAAATTTTCAGATTTTAATTTTACTATTAATAAATAATATCAAACATTTATACAATAATATTCTATTTCATTTATTTATATAATCTAATCTAATTAATTTCCTCCAAGGCACTAAAATATTTTTGTAGGTATAGGATTTCTACGTAACAATTAATATTTCTCTTGTTATTATGTACTATTAACAATATTGTCATGGTTGTCTTAGTACATATAGAGAATGATACATATCAAATGCATATCTAACCGTATTTATTTATATTCAACTCCAAATAGCTCTTTCTTCTTATCTATTTTACAGAAATACTATTATTTTTTTAAAATTGAGATTGAAAAAAAAAAAAAAATTAAGCACAAGCACCATCACGAGTATTTTTAAATGTTAGTATAAAGGAAACTCTATTTTTATTTTTTAAATAATAATAATAATAATAATAATAATAATAAGCAAATAATCCATTACTGTTATTCATTAACTTTTTTAAATTTTTTACTTATTAATTGAAATAAATGGTATTAATATACATTCAAATAAAAATATTCAAAAGTCTTCTTCAATAAATTTATAAACTATACACAAAAGCATAAGCAACAGAGTTTTGAGCTTTTAATGATTTATTATGTTGCAAAAAGTTTTATCATATATAATGAAGATTTTAAAATAATTATAACAACACTTGTGTTTTTTATTTTAAAATGAAACAAATATATATATATATATATATATAATTCAGCATGTATGATATAATTAAATTTTCTATTTTTTTATAATTTTATTTCAAAATCTTGATAAGCATTATTTTATTATTAAAAAGGACTCTCTTGCAACAAACAAACAAAAATAAATAAATAATAAATAAATGAAAAATGGAATCTTTATTCAAAATAAGGAGAATTTAATCTCTCTAAAAAGTTGGTACATTTTAACTAAATCATTAAACAATCCAATTACATCATAGTAGAAATTTAGGTAACATCACAACATTGATATAAGTGGGTGGTTGTTGCCATGCCATAATTTAGTAACTTATATATTTATATGATTACAGGTTATATAAATACAGCATAGAAATTAACATACAATTTTAGTACAGTTTTAAAATATCATGTTCATGCAGATAGCAAATATATTCATGTCAATTGGATCATATTGATAAGACTAATTCTTGCTTTACTTAAAGTATAAAGAGTTTGTGACTAGACTACAAACTTACAATTAAAAAAATCTATGACAAAATATTTCCAGGCAATTAGTTTTTTAAATTCAGAATAATTGGACGATAAGTTTGTGTGATTTTTACATAGCGATACATTCATTACATTTTCCATAAAGGATAAAGTATAATGAGATTGTTTCAAACCTGGCAACTTATTTTTAATTAAAAGAGTCACAAAGACCATGCATGTGAAGTTCAAAAAAGTTGATATGGAATGAAACTTTTCTGCAATTACTGTCAAAGTTTTTGAAGCTGTAAAACTACCACGCGATCAGAAAACTGCATGTAACTACTGTTGTACAATCTCCGCATGCTTACTACTACCATGTTACATAAATTGGTATTTGCAAGTTGAGATCTCATTGGCCATGTATTCACAATAACTTGATCTTGGGATTATGAGCAAGTGCATCACAGCAACCCCAACAAATTCAAAAAATCATCTTGTTCCTCCACCTTGTGACGGATACCCTAACTAGAAATAGGAGCCTATATTCCGTCATGTGTTGTTCTTTCCCACTGGTTCCTAAAGCACGGGCACGAAAACGAAATTTCCAGCTCCTGGGACTCGCTAAATGCACATATTGAGGCAAGATCACACCAATCATCCAGGACACACGTTTCATGGGAGATGCTAAAATATCACACAGTTGATTGTGGGTTAATGTTACAACTCACAGTGCACAAACTGATGCTTGGAAAGAGTTCGCAGGGTCTTTAGTCCTGAACAAACACAGTTCCACCTCCAATCTCGAGAGACAGGATTGACAGATTCTACAGCTCTGCTCTACCCAATTGTTGGTCGAAAGCTTCAGCTGTACCAGAAAACTGACACACTTTCCATCTTCGAAATGTAATCCCTACTGCGCATGCGCAATCGCTCACAATACACAGAGTTGTGGTAGTCCTCGTGCAAAGTGAAAGCGCGCACGCCCACGCCCAGTAACTCTCTAAACCCCGTTCACGCCACCAGCACTTAATTTAAAGAAGGCACCGCAATACATGCTTGAGTGGCACCATGAATGCTCGAGAAGGCCAAAGCACAAGGAGAACAAAACGCGAGAATAGGAAGACCAAAATGGAAAGCTCCGTATCAAGAGAAGTGCAAAAACAGGGACGGTGTAAAAGCTGTTGCTACAAATACAATGCACCTGCAACGCCGACAGCAGGTCCCAACACGGTAGTGGGTACCAGCACACTGGCAATTGCTCCAATTGGGCCACCAAGGATCGGAATCTTTTTAATGGCACCTTTCGTCATGTGGACTGCAAAAATGCCTCCAATCATGAACAGACCGAGGCGTTTGCCTCTATCAAGAGCCACCCGTTTTAGCACTTCTCTTGCAATTCTTTCAAAATATTGGTATGTGATAAGTGAGTCAAGTGAGAGAGAAGGATTGCATTCCACTGCACCCCGTATGTCGTCCTGGGTGATGGGACGTAATACAAGCTTTACAGCTTTCGTATCCAAGTTATCAGAAATACTCTGCAAGGAAAATGAAACACATTAGAGATCCGTTAAGTAGAATTTGGTTAATATGCCAACACTGTGGGTTAAGACATTTCTGAACTCTAATCACGATACTTGTCACATAACTGCAAAGACTTATCCACTCTTTGGTTGACAGACATACTTTGCTCAAGCTTTCTACAGTGAAAACCCACCCAAAATACCGATTTTACTTACTGTAGCTCATTTACATTTCGTATCTTGAAAAATGTCTCAGTCAAGAATTGATAGACGTCTATTTAGGGCTGGAGAAGCAGTTTTCAGTTAGCCTCTGAGCAGATCTTATGCTATACCTTCATGCGCTTCTCTACTACCAAGGTACTAGAAGTGATAGATGTCTTAAAGACAATAGGAACTAAGAGTGCATAAAAATCTACGAGAGACAATTTCAAAGAAAACTATCAGTTCTTGAAAAGCCCTGGTCGAAAATCCAGGTTTAGGGTTTAGGGTTGAAACAAGCCACCTCAAATGACGGGGGTTGCCAAATCTTTACGGACGGTGTATGGTTGAGATATGCAGTAAAAGAAACAGTCATTCCAGACAGGGTTACTGTAATTTTCGCCTGCAACTCTAGCTATTGACAGATTCTATGTGTATTGATAATTCCGTGGCAAGGCTAAATTTGAATAGGCTTGCTAGACCTCCAGTCCAGTTTGATCCGGTCAGGTCGATGAGTTCCGCAGTTTTATTCCTGTCGGAAGCTGACCATGACCGTGCGGATAGAAAGGAAAACAATTGACATTCCAACAAGCCCATGAAAATGTGCTCATCCATTAGCATTGAGAAAGTCCCAACCAAACCAAGAATCTGGCCAGACATAACCGTAACAACTTATGATGCCTGGACAAGAATGCGTGCTGTCTTGAGGGGGAGGATTCGCAGTCACCTCTCCTCCAGAACCTCAAAAATGAAACAAGTCATATTCATTCTCAGACTCGTTCTGAATGCATACTTGCCAAGGAAAGCCTTGAAGAGCAGATTTCAACGTTGAGAATCCAAGAGTACTATACACATACGTGACGAACCTGGACAAAATGCTGCAAGGCAGGAAGTAGTTGGTCGATGGGCAGCTTCTCAACAGGGTAAGGTAGCTGGAAGCGCTCAAAGGCGAGCCGCACCGCTGATTTGAAACGATGGGATTCGTCCAATAGGCGATCCACGCCCTCACCAATGCCGTGTCTTATGTCCGAAATCTTTTTGTAAGCAGAATTGCCATCCTTCTCTCTCTCATTCCGCTGGGGCACCCGTTCAAAGGACCCCCTGGGTGGCGACGCCGATGTCTCCATGTCCAAAGACACTCAATCAATGCGACGCTATAACCTTCAACAGCCACCGCACCACTGCACACATTACCCAAAAAAAAAACCTCGAATCCATCATTCTTACAAGAACCCAACAACTCACGATAATTGACTTGCAGAAAACCTACAGAGAGCGCCACCAGAGAATCCACGGAAAGGACTACCAGCGCCATGAACACAAAGAAAGAAAAGGAAAGGAAAGCAGCAAGAGCCAGCACTGAGCCCAATACCTGAACTCAGCGGCACCAAACCAAGCAAAGCAGGATATATAATATCAGAAAACCACACACTCACGGGAAGCCCCACCGACAATCACAGAGCAAGCGGAGGAGGAATACTAGAGGAGGGAATAGGGCCAGAATAGGGAAGAGGAGGAGGAGGAATAACAAGGCGCCGGGCAACGGGAAGGGAAGCGAAGGGAAGAGAAGGGAACCCCACCCCAACCAATCAAAGGGAACGAACCCATTTCTTTGTTGCCCATGCTTTTGGATTGAAGAGTTCGCCGAACACCATTGTAATTTACTGGGAGCCATGGTACAAAGAGACTTTGTTTTTTTTTGTAAGACCCATGATCAATCTTCGGAAAAAAGAGAATTTGAAATGAAAATGGTGAAGAAAATTCATTGCATTCCGAGTATAGTAAGAGAATGACGGAGGAGAATGTGAACTGCCCAATGGGTGATTGCGAACTGACTGTGGTATTTTTCGCAAACTTGGGATACTCGGAAGGAAGGGCTCCCCTGCCGCTTTTTCATGAAGCCTTGTAGGACGGTTGGAGGATGAGTTTGCGGCGTAGCAGTTCCTTGGATGTGGGTTTCCGGTTGCCAATGGATCCTAACACATGGAAGGTTCTCATGGCTTCGTGATGTTTTGCTGGCGCTCTTATGGCAGAGGCGAATGACCCACTGTGGACTGTGTGGGAATGTTCAGAGGGATGGCGTCTGCATTGTGCAGTTTGTGATGCTCCAGTTGTAGATCTTGGAACTAGTGGCTTGCTGCACAGCAAGAAAGGCAACCCCTTTGTCTACCATTTTGCGAGTGAATTCGAAGATCGAAGTGCTGTGGAACATTCGTGTGATGATTGATGAACGCGTGATCACCAGCCGAATTTCTGGAGCTGCGACGGAGGTCACTTTAAACAAGGCAGAAGTGCTCAATATTCGCACTGCAACATGAGGAGATTGCTGATGCCTTGATAATTAGTGACGTCGGGAGCATATTATCATGATAAATAAATTTCAGGTTGATATGAGCATATTCAGATAATGTTTTCTTGAACAGCACTAATTCTATTCTTTACATGGTCTACTGCTTCAGTGTTCATTCTGATGAACTCACCTTCTATTTCCATCTTGGACTGTATTTGTTTCTTCTTTTTCTTGTTCTTTTTTTGTCTACACTACTGTGACTTAGAGCTTCATCTTTTCTAAAGATCCTAGACTCGGAATACATGAAAGCTCTTGTTGAGTTTGTATCATGGCCTTTGTCGGAGCGTGAGATATGCAGGAGCTAGATAATGACGCTGCGCATGGGCAGTTATTTGTAGAATCGAAGTTGATTTTTCTTGAATCAACAGCGTTAAGACCTAAGAATTTCATAGTTGGAGATATGGCTTGATGCTGTTGGATTCCACCCAACTAGACACGATCTTTATTTAGCGGTGGTTGCTTAGTTGACAATTTCATGTTTGCCCGATTGAGCAATGTGTGGCCTTCTGCAAAGGGTGTTCTTTTAGAGATACACTGGCAATCGAAGACGAAGTGAGAATAACTACATCTTGCAAACAAAGACTAAAATTTTCTTCACAAAATCTTTCAAAGATACAGTGAAGAAATATGAACTAATGGTGAAACCCTGACGGCTGGATGCGCTTCTAAGCAAGAATGTCCTACGGGTCTTCTCCGAAGGTACAGAAAGGGGTGATAACAAACCTGTACTCTCAGTTTCCAGTTACCTGGTAAAACAAATAAAATGTCAGAAGGATGCTGAGTTTTCCGTTCATGCTTGGCTATCTTCGAAGCTACTAACGAGGTAAAACCATACCCCATTAATGTGTAGCAAGTCCATGAATTCGGCGCACGTATGTCTTCATGTCTATACGTCTTCGGAGCTGTGTATGTATGTGACGTTTTTGGGGCATCATTCTGTATTCTTTCTTTGTGCACTAGTGGGTTATGTTTTTTACATCATGTCATTCGCTGTCAAAAGATTGTGTCTACAGTATTGGACTCTCTGTTCCATAACTTGGGCTTTGGGATGTGGATATTACCCTCATACTCTCTTGAACACAACATTGCCTTCAAAGTAACACCCTGTTTACAACCATTCCTGTCATTGTAGTACTGAAACAGGTGTAGTGTGTGTGTTTTTTTTCTTCTGAACGCTACAAAAAGAGAATGATTTTCATAATCGATACGTAAGGGAAGCATATCACAAAAGCATTTTTTGAAGTAGAATTACGATAAGTTCACAACAGCACAGTGAACCACCCATCATTCAACTAAAAGAATCGTCAATCGAAGATTGTGGGGGTGTACATACAGCCTGTGTACTGGAATAATGGACGTGCTCTACACAATAGTTAGAGTATTATGGCCACTGTTGAGTGCCATTACGTCTAATGCATCGAGAGATTTGGTCTTAAAGCACCGCCGTGACGATTCTGGTCTGACTTCTTTACTTCTCCGCTGCACAAAAGATGACTTAGCCACGACTTCCCTGGCAAGGAGACCGTCAGAATGGCAGTCCACTCCCTGCAACTCTCTTCTTCTTCTGCTGCTGGATTTCTGCTGTCAGTCAGTTTCCCAACACACAGTTCATCCCTTCGCTGTGAATCCTTTTCTCACTCTTTTCATATCTTTGGCTTCAAAATCTTTACCTATTTGAGTGCAAATCTTTAGGGTGAATGTCTGATCACATGCAATTGGGGCCATTCTGAAGTTGGAGGCTCAGATTGCAACTAGACATTATTGGCTCTCCAACTTGCACAGGAATAAAGCCCGATTCATTGACTTTTAATCATTGTCTGTGATTCAATTAAAGTCCATTTAGCCATCCATCAATCACTTTCACAATTTCATTATTAGGCATCCTATGAAGAGGTGTGTGTGTGTATAACCATGAAATCATCTTGTGGCTATTACTACTATCACTTGTCACCTCTCTACAGTGTTTGGAGGTGTGCATTCCACACCATCTGTCAAGTTATTGCATGTTGCAATGCAATTTTTTGTTATTATGGTGTGCAGTGTGTGATGCTTCCATGGCAATGGACAGAGAAAAGAGAGTACTATGAAGCAGATTCCACATGGATGCATTCAGAAATCCAGTGGACACTGACACCATCTTCAAGGCATTGGGTGGAGACTGGGAGGAAGTATACTAACCTGGGGCAGCCCATTCTGGATGTGGTATAATTTGTGAAGCCTGTGTAGAGCCATATTAGTAGTAGTTGTAGTGAAAAAGGATTATGATATTAAAAATTAATATTATTATTCTTGTTGTAGGAGGAGGAGGAGGAATAACAGTAGGGTGAGTTGCTTTCTATCTGCCCAGGTGAATCTTATTAGAAGCTGACCAAACATCAACCTGGCATGGGTTTCTATGGACAAAGCCACTGCCCAACTGTCTTTGAGATGGTACTAGATTTCATTTATCCCACTTTACTTTGCTTGTGAGAATTGTGAATCTTTTTGACTGAACATTAAACACTTTTTTCATAATGAATGTTTTCATGTACTATGTGATTTTGTTCTGTTTTTATCAGTTATCAGGGGAATTATTTTTATTTTTATTTTTTGTTTTTTTAATCTCTTGATTGATTAAACAGAGTGGGTCTTTGATTGGACATATAATCTCATAAGCTAAGTTTCCAATTAATATCACTTGTAAAATTCAACTTGCAGTAAAATGGTTCATAACATCAAGTGGCAATTACAATTTTAGTCCAAATAATAAGAATCATTAAATGATGAGTAAATCAGTTAACAAGTTATGTTTGAAGTTTCAAGTTGTAGAATTTTTCTGTTGAAGTGAATTAACTAATACATGAAAAGATTACATGAAAATAAAACATGGATCAGTAAAGGAATGTGTAGATTATACATGCATGGAATGTAAAAAAAAAAAAGAAAAAAGAAAAAAAAAGAAAAAAAAGAATCAAATTGTTTTAATGTTGTTAAAGAATTTGATTGCACAAAACTAGGCTTTTGGTACTGAATATAGTATTTTATTTTCAAACATTCATTCACTACCTTTTTGTAAGGTATACTGTTCTGTCTTTGCAGAATGTAAAATTTTATCCCCAGGTTTATAATGCAAAAAATTACAATGCATATATATATATACATATATATATATATATATATATATATAACATTTTTGAAGTGAGGTAAATGTGGATTATGTTAATGTCAATCTTGAGCATCACCATCAAAAGAAGTACACTGGGATGTTCACCTATACTTCACCTTACTTCTTCATATATGTATTTTTGTCATATCTATGACAGAACCTCCCAAATTTAGAGCAAAAGCTTCTACTCACATAGAATTTGACTCTTGTGTACTTTTCAATAGCAAATAATACATTTTTATATTTCAGCAAATAATTTTAAAATATGCATGACATTAGTTTATGATGTTTGCAAACATTTCTTATTTTTTTGTTGATGGATCTAGAAATCCATATATATATATATATATATATATATGGCTAAATTACTTTGCTAAAAGATATTCAGCCACTCAGCAAACCATGATGAAATGAAATGAAAAAAATGAAAAAAAAATGAAAAAAAAATTACCAAAAAAAATTACCAAAAAAAACTCAAATTCAAACCTGATTGAATATCTAGGTTCAAGGCCAATGACTTGATATTCAATACTCCAATACAGTAATAAGTAAACTTCTTCAAAATTTTAGTATGGGGACCCATGTCGAATAAGCTACAATTTCAAATGGTGTTACTGAATTTCAAACATATGATTTAACACTACCTTGCCATTCTTGTAAAGTTAAAAGCTTTACTTTAACTTTACTTTAGTTGTTTTATTCTTTCCTTCTCTCAAGAGTTTTTTTAATAATAGAAAACAATTATTCTGTATATTGTGATTGAGTACATCATTGAGACATTGTGACATCCTACTGTGATTGAATATGCCACAGTGACACACCTTTCAGTATTCTGTTGGCCAATAAAATTGAACCTTTTGAATTATTTGTCATGAAATTTAGAATTTCTTTCACCCACCATTGAAATTGAAATGTATATATGTGTATGTAAATATGTATAAAAAAATGACAAGTTGAATAATATCAATACAAAAATGATCTTTACAAACTCTTTTACAATACATTGCCCAAAACATTTTAGTGTTTATATTTCAATGATTTAGAAGCATCAATATGCAACAATAAAATTTAAAAAATAATAATACTGGTTAATTCTAAATATAATGACATGTGTAGTATATTATACCTTTTAAGTGCATGCATATATGAGTTGTATTCTACAAATTAAAATGATTAGTATATGTATGTTAATTATTATTTCATTTGTGTTTTAAAGACATTATATTCAAAAAGAAAAATAATAAATATTTAAATTGATAAGAAGATAGAAAAATTTATGCTTTGTGGAAGGGCAATTCCTCACATGATTTAGAAAGATAGTGTTTTGGTTCAATGGTCAACC